ACTATTTTTTAAATCCTCTGTTGTCCGTTCTTCTCGCCAGGTGTACTGCCCATTGCCATTTCAGGGATTTAATTTTGTGAATGACATCAATCTATTACCTAGGTTTTTTGTCGTATCCGCTCTATTCTACGATCTTTTTTTATTCTCAGTATATTGCGTTCCATCGAGCGTTGTGTGACATGCAATTTCCTTATGATATCGGTTTTTAAGTAGCCAGGTTTCGAAAGTTTTCTTCGTTAGATAAACTGGCATTTTAGATTTGAATATGATTGAGTTTCTTCTATAAGTACTTCATGCTAACTTAATTATTCTGTTGATTTCTGGTAGAAGAGATCTTGAGCTGTGTCTAAGTTGTCCCAAACCTACATATTCTTCTACTATTTCCAAGGTTATGTAATGTATTAGAATGTATTTTCTTTTCACTAGTTCGTTATACATTACTTTAGTTTTTGCTCAAAATTCTTTTTGCAGGTTGTATTTAGTTTCTTTTGGTTTGGTACTTATAGTTTTTTAGAACTATTGACAATTAGGACTATATCATCAGCGGAGTTAAGATAGTTAAGATATTCTCCATCTATTTTCAATCTCAATGTCCTATTGCTTTGCAATTAGCATTATGGTAAGTTTGGGGTTGTTTTATATATTATTACTTTTGCTTTGGCTTCTTTGTGTATATTGGCGAGCGTTTCTATATAAGGTCTGTCTATTCCAGGTTTTGTTAGTGTTTCTATTATTGCCTTAGAAGATATCGTGTCGAAAGCCTTCTCGAAGTCTATAAAGATATTGCTATATACAGGGTGAGTCTTAAGTAAGTGCAAATATTTTTAGGGCTGGTAGATCCCGATAAAAGAAATATATTTTCTCTTTACCGTTTTTCAAATAAATCCAAAATAACCGAATAATTTACTTTAAAAATTTCAAAAAAAGTCATTTTTTGCTAAAATTTTGGGAACCACTGGATCTTTTCGGTAAATTTCGATTTTTTTTTGTAAATTTAATTTACTACCTATGTTTCCATATTATCAAGAAATTATGTTTTTTTTTTAACTGAAAACTAAAAAATTTCCAAAATTTTTTTCAAAAAATTCCAAATTTAAAAAAAAATTACGAAAAAAAATTGATAATGGTGTCGAAACATACCACCCCTAAAAATATTTGCACTTATTTAGGATTCACCCTGTATAGTGTATAGTCATATTTCCTTATATAAAAAGTTAAAATATATCGATATATTTTTGAACTGTGCCATCACTACTGCAAACTAAAATTAGCCGCGAATCGCTGGCCGTAAATCAAGTTTACGATATGGAAATATCGATGCTATTCGTCGAAACACGGCCTTTGTTAGAAGGACGCTATCGTAAATCTTAAGACACAAGATAAACAAAAAGAAGCCACTCTAAATAAAGTGTTTACTACCGAAATTACTTGGTAAATTTATGGTATTAAAAGATTCCATGTAATCACATAAATACAATTAAATGCTTTTATTAATTTCAACTGAGCTCTGCTATTGAAAATCTCCGAAATTATCAAAATATATTAACTCATATCTTAGGATTATATAAAGTGATCTGAAAGGAAGCCAAAAATGCAATAATATACTATTTAAAAAAAATTATCCCGACCACTCAAACTTTTTTGAGCCACCCTATAGAAATTAAAATATTATGAAATACATCTTTGTATATACTTTCGGTTTACACTTAAACAAAATTCTCAAGTTTTTTTTATTCTAGTACAGTAAAAAATTCTTTTTCGAAATATGCTAATGAGCCACCCTTGTTCCATTTGAAAAAATTGATTAAAAATTAAAAATACGATTTGGGCATCTTTTAGCCAGCCAGGACAAGACACGAAAAACATTAAATGATCAAATCTATTTTTACAAGGCTCCTTGTATAAAAAATTAGTGTTTTTAACACAACAATGGCACTCTAGATTGAGATTTAAAATACGATTTTTTTTAAAGCGAAAAAGAGGAATAAATTACCAGGAAAAGGCGAATAAAGTACATTTCAAAATATTATTCTAAAATAATCAGATTTATACCTTAATTAAATTCTTAAAAAATAATGAACCAGTTGTGTAAAAAGCTCTATATACATTATAATATATAATTAAGGCCCCATTAACTTTTGGAATTTTATATAGAAATCTTATTCTAACCACTTTTCAGAATAATAATTACTTATAACAAAATCACGAGAATGTTTCAGTCTATACGTAAGAAATGTTCCAGAGTTTACTTAATATGTCTAGAAATGGAGAATAATTAACTTAGGAAGGAAACATATTTAATAATCTTGTTGTTTAAGCTAGAGGATACTTAGTGTGGCTAAAATTGTTGTTGCGAAGTTGCGATAGCAAAATACGATGAACAAGTGAAAACTTTAGTTTGCAATTTTCCTTTTCCCAATTTCGGAACTTTGCAAGGATTTTCGGGGGGTATAAACAACGAACCTGGCAATTGAATTTTAAGTTAAAGTATTAAAGTTTAGACGCAAGGAAGGAAAATAATACAGAAAGGTAATTTTACAGTTTAACTTAACTACAGTTTATTTATCGAAAGAAATCTGGTAAAGAAGTTTGTGTAAAAAATGTAAAAAGCATAAAAAAGAGCAAAAAATTTACATGAGATTATTGCGCAATTTTTTTCTACCTAAGTTTACTGCAACTTATTACGTTTGTGCGTAACCTGTTTTTCTGATTTATTTCTGTACTATTTTCTTTATCTGGTCGTAAATACAGCTTTGGTGTATGTCAAATTCGCAATAAATAACATTCGCGTACAAAAAGCGTACAGAGTTGTCCGAACTGTATTACGGAAACATCGATAGCATATTCTGCAGATAAAAATAAGTAAAAAAGTTTGTATAAATGTATGTCCTAAAATGCTTAGTTTTGGAGATACAGGGTGTAGGAGTTTTATTTTTATTTTGATTTTTTGTAAATAATTCCTGAAGTAACGTCAATAATTGGATGAAAATTGGTTGGAAAAATTGGAGTTTTTTAACATGAGAAATTTGATTTTGATCTCAATATGACTCCTATTTGTAGGGGGCGCCACCTACATGTGTTTTAACTGTTTTGAAGAGTAATACTTTTCGTCCGTACCTGTATAAAACTACTGGGTGAAAAAATACATTTCCGTGATTTTTGACGTAAAAAATGTTTCTTGTTAAAAAACCTCTACCAGTAACCGTTCTCAAAATATTTAGAATGAAAATAGTCAATACAAACATGTCATTATTGACAAAAATAAACATGTGGCGTAGATAGTTATTTGACTGAAATGATAAATTTGGGAACTTTTTAGTTTTTTAAATTAATTTTACATTTTTCTCCGAAAAATAATGATAAAACAGTTCCTGTTGAACTTTTGGCACAAAAACATTTCAAATTTATGATTTCAGTCTAAAAATTATTTAGTCATGTTTAACTTATGTCAACGACGACAGGTATTGATAATTTCGATTCCAAATATTTCGAGAACCATTACTCGTAGTGATTTTTACCAAGAGACTTTTTTACGTAAAAAACGTCGCAAATGTATATTTTTTACTTAGTAGATTTATACAAGTACGGACAAAAAGTTATTACTCTTCAAACCAGTTAAAATATATGTAGGTGGTGCCCTCTACAAGTAGGAGTCTTATTGATAATCAACATCAAAATTATCATGTTAAAAAACTTCCAGACACCAATTTTCATTCAAATATTAAAGTTACTTCAGAAATTATTTGAAAAAAGTCGAAATAAAAATGAAACTTCTACACCCTCTATCTCCGAAACTAAGCATTTTATGACATACATTAATACGAACTTTTTTACATATTTTTATCTGCAGAATATACTGCCGAAGTTTCCTGAATACAATTCGGACCACCCTGTATACATATAACAGAAAATTCTGCAATAATGAACAAACAAAATATAAGTGTGGAACAAAATCCGAATAGAACACGGGAAATAGTTGAACGCAATTAAACAAAATTCATTGAATATATTGCTATAAAAAGCGAACAAATAATTTATTGAAAAATTGGTAATAAAATAACGACTCAATATTGAATAAATGGCAATCATGAATTAAAAAATTATGAAAACGACAAAAGTAAATGGAACCAAAACATTTTATAGAGAGCAGTTTTGGTATTTAATTTTAAATCCTAAGTAATGTATAATATCAAAAACATACCTAACAAACTTAGAGAGCATAAGTAAAATAAAGAACAAATATAAAAATAGAAAAAGACGAGACTAATTTGCAAGGCATTAATCAAAGATAGACATAATATATTAAAATTTAAATTCAAAAAAATATATTTATTGACAGAATTATTGATACATGTATATTTTTTTTAATCGAATCAATACAGAGTATTTCAAAAGATTTATTTTTTATATCAATATAGGTCCGATTTTGCTTTGTTTCGTAGCTACAAGGTAAACATTTTTATTTTTATTTATTTATTATAATCTTCTTTCAAGTGCTTTTAGTGATTTGAATGAAATGTAGAGGGTAAAACTTACTATAAGTGCTACGTATTTTAATGCTAAAAAAGTGTCGACAAATTCACTAGGGACATGGGTCACCACCTGAATATTTTTCCAGAAAAAACATGTGCGCCATTTTGAGTAGTGTATTTTCTTTTGTTAACAAAATTGTATAGGCCGTTTAATGCCGATTAAAAGTTATATCTTGATATTTTGTCGATTTAGATCCTTGATGATATTAACGCCATTTTATTAATAAATTATTTATTTAATCTAATTTATTATTCGATATGATTAAAATTTATAACACTGATGTTCAGTGCTACCTACAGCAAATTCCAAAATATAAAAAATAACAGAATGTTAATATCCCATTGAATAATTAAAAAACTGTCCTCAGGTTTATATGATACAATTAAAATATACATATCTGATACAATTTGTATTTTGACTGTTTTCTATACCTTTACTAGCATTTAAACATATCCCTTTTCTTACAGGAAATCAACCGAATGAATCCCCCAGACGCGTTTGTGATTTTGTACTCGGTGGTGGACAAAGCTAGTTTTCTAAAAGCAGAGGCAGAACTCAACAGGCTGCAGGATTTCGAATTGCTGCGATCGAGACCGGCCATATTAGTGGCAAACAAAATAGACCTAGCTAGAAGTCGAACTGTTTCAACGCAAGGTAATTTATAAGTAGCGACAAACATAATATACATATAATTTGTACAACTAGTCTCTACGAAATCATTTTTCATAACTAAAAAATAAATTCGTATAAACTATTCAAAATGAGTTTTTAAAAAAGTCTCTTGTATTTGACTAAAATGAATATTTAGCTAGTTTAAAAAAAATGAATTATTGTTGACATTGTTATTATATTCCCCAGATATTTTGGGGAATGTGGAGCAATATAGAGTGCTAGGTCTACAATAATTCAATTTGCAATATCATGTTAATTACTATCACTGTATTATTACTATTATAGTAGCAGAAGTAAGCTCTGTAAGTAGCTTCATAAAAAAACTAAAAACAATACAAAACCGTATAGTAAATAAACTACTCATAACAAAATTATAGCATATTTAAAAAAAATATAATACAGGGTTGTTCACCACATACGACACGGAGTATTGTAGCTAAACGATGAGATTTTTACAAATTGTAAGTTTGGGGTTCGTTGAAGGACTATTAGAGCTACAATTTAAAAATATTTTTACAAGATACAGAGCGTCCCAAATAAATAAAAAATATTAAAGTTGTATTTTTTTAAATGGAACAACCCTGTATATTATTACATTTTTAGTTTCTACGATTAAAATAAAGGTAAATTTGATTAAGGTTTATTATACTTAAACCTTACCGTTTTTGAAATATTTTCAATTTTGTGAAATTGCAGTAAAAAGTTTAAAGCTTCATTTCTCCAAGGGTATCAATGTTTTTAATACTAAATATTTAATGAAGTTTATTTATTGATCAGTTATTGTGTTGCAATAATAAAAATAATACTACCTTATACAGAGTGTCTAAAAATTTATTTTAAATAATTATTAGCTTCAAACGGCAATAAATCTTTAATTTAAATGGAATGCCCTGTATATTTTAGGAGAATCAGATGCACAATTAAATTGTCTATCAAATTGTATTATACCATTTTTTACCTATCCCTTCAAGTTTTCGTAGAAAATGCTTTTTCTTATAATTTAGACCTCATTTATCAATATATCCATGGAATATTGACATTTTAGATTGTTTTTAAAGCAACAAATGTACAAAATGTACAGACTAGTAATATTATCGTTTTTAGCAAAACGATAATATTACTAACGCTATATATATATATATATATATATATATATATATATATATATATATATATATATATATATATATATATATATATATATATATATATATATATTAGCCCATTTGTATGCAAAAAGAAAACTATTTAAATCTTTATAAAAGAGTATACCATTAATTAAATATAACACCATTATTTCCCCCCATATACTAATTAATGACATACTTAATTGTGTTCGTTAATAAATTATTATAAATAAATGTGGATTTTTGAGTCAGAAATCAATATAAAAATAAGTTATCAAATTAAAGTCTTTGTTGTTATAAATAAGCATTTATTAAAAAATGAAATATCATTTTTAAGGTGTTACTTTTTATCACACTGTCTAATGCCCATACAAAATTCAGTTTTTTAGTATTTGAAGCAATTATTATTAATCAACGCAAACAGTCAGTTAATGTAGTTTGAATACTGGAATCATATTAATTGGTCCTCTTTAACAAATATTTAAACAGGTTTTTTTTATTTTTTAATGAAATAAAGGAATTATATCGACAATATTAGTATCTGTACTCTTTAAAAATTTGGTACATCTTTAAAAATAATCTAAAATGTCAATAGTCCATGGGTATATTGATAAATAAGTTCTAAATTACAAGAAAATGCATTTTCTACGGAAACTTAAAGAGATAGGTAAAAAATGGTATAATATAATTTGATAGACAATTAAATTGTGCATCTGATTCTCGTAAAATATACAGGGTATTCCATTTAAATTAAACAAGTTATTGCCGTTTGAAGCTAATAATTATTTAAAATAAATTTTTAGACACTCTGTATAAGGTAGTATTATTTTTATTATTGCAACACAATAACTGATCAATAAATAAACTTCATTAAATATTTAGTATTAAAAACATTGATACCCTTGGAGAAATGAAGCCTTAAAATTTTTACTGCAATTTCACAAAATTGAAAATATTTCAAAAACGGTAAGGTTTAAGTATAATAAACCTTAATCAAATTTACATTTATTTTAATCGTAGAAACTAAAAGTGTAATAATATACAGGGCGTTCCATTTAAAAAAATACAACTTTGATATTTTTTACTTATTTGGGACACTCTGTATCTTGTAAAATTATTTTTAAATTGTACCTCTAATAGTCCTTCATCGAACCCAAAACTTACAATTTGTAAAAATCTCATCGTTTAGCTACAATACTCCGTGTCGTATGTGGTGAACAACCCTGTATACAGGGTGTCTCAGATTTTAATCGGGAAAATTTAATAGACGATAGAACTTGCAAAAATAAAACAAAAAGTTCATATCAACTTGTAAGATTTAAAGCTTCCTTTTCGAGATACAGGGTGTTAAAGTTACTTAAAAAAGAAAAAAACTTTAAGATATTTGAAAAACTATTTAATCGATTTTGATAACCAAACCAAACTTGACCCGTTTATAATACTTGCTATGGGACTTAATTTGATGTAATTAGATTTAAGTCTAATGGCCAGGGGCGGCGGTGGGTCATCACTGTTAAATTATTTTAAAGTAAAAAATAGTCACGCCACTGATTTTTTAGAAGTTCAATATTATTTTTGGATTTAGTAATTAAAAATATAATTTTTTTGGCTCCTGACTTTTTTGTCTATCTTATCTTTTTGTTAACCATTATTATTTAATTTATGGTCCAGGGTGGAGTGAATAAATGAATTTAATTTTTTTCGCAAGAAGTAAGCAAGATAGAGAAAAAAGTCAGGAGACAAAAAAATAAAATTTTTAATTACTAAATCCAAAAATAATATTAAACTTCTAAAAAAGCAGTGGCATGTCTATTTTTTACTTTAAAATAATTTAACAGTGATGCCCCACCGCCGCCCCTGGCAATTAAACTTAAATCTAATTACATCAAATTAAATCCCATAGTCAGTATTATAAACGGGTCAAGTTATATCAAAATCGATTAAATAGTTTTTCAAATATCTTAAATTTTTTTCTTTTTTATGTAACTTTAACACCCTGTATCTCGAAAAGGGAGCTTTAAATCTTACAAGTTGATATGAACTTTTTGCTTTATTTTTGCAAGATCTATCGTCTATTAAATTTTCCCGATTAAAATCTGAGACACCCTGTATATTAATTTGAAAAACAAGACACCTTGAATTCCCTGAATCACGTTTTTAAATAGTTTGAATATTGTACAGTGAAATGTTCGAAACAATAACAATTTAATTAAGTTTTAGTTAGTTAATTAAGAAATATTTAGTTGCAAAAGTGAAAACAAAACATTCTTATAGAGCTGATCGGCCAACTATTTGATTGCATGTGAACTCGGTTCCATAAGAATACCGGGTGCGTCTCAAAAAAATAATTTGTAGGAAATAACTACACTTTTGATTTTTAAATGGTACCCTCGGTGTTTTGTTGCTTTATTCGATAGAAAATGACACTCTGAATAGAATGACATATCATATGTCAACTTTTAACATTTTCGAATATGGTTATCAATTTTACTCGAAATACCAAGTGTGTGGTACCAAATTATTTGTAAAATAATGCTTTTTCCGAATATGCTAATGAGCCACCATTGTTCCATTTGAAAAAATTGAGATATTATTAAGAATACGATTTGGACATTTTTAACCGGCCAGAACAAGATACGAATAATATTAGACGATCAAATCTATTTTTCCAAGGCTCCTTGATTAAAAATTAGTGTTTTTAACACAGCAATTGCACTCTAGATTGAAATTTAAATTCAATTTTGTTTTAAGCAAAAATGTCAAAAATTGACATATGATATGTCACTCTATTCAGAATGTAATTTTCTATCGAATAAAGTCAAAAAACACCGAGAGTGCCATTTAAAAATCAAATGCTGTAGTCACTTCCGGTGAAACAGGAAGTGGCCGAAAAGAATTGAATACGTCAATCAATCCTAATTTATGTCATATACTAACATACTAAATATCGTTTTTTTGTCTGATAAAATAAAAAAGTTATATACAGGGTGGTCCGAACTGTATTCCGGAAACTTCGGCGGCATATTCTGCAGATAAAAATAAGTAAAAAAGTTCGTATAAATGTATGTCCTAAAAGGCTTAGTTTCGGAGATACAGGGTGTAGAAGTTTCATTTTTATTTCGATTTTTTCCAAATAATTTCTGAAGTAACGTCAATATTTGGATGAAAATTGGTGTCTGGGAGTTTTTTGACATGATAAATTTGATTTTGATGTCAATATCGATATTTGATGTCCTACTAGTAGAGGGCGCCACCTACATATTTTTTAACTGGTTTGAAGAGTAATAGCTCTTCGTTCGTACCTGTATAAAACTACTAAGTAAAAAAATATACATTTACGACGTTTTCCACGTGAAAAAGGTCTCTTGGTAAAAATCGCTACGAGTAATGGTTTTCGAAATATTTGGAATCTTAATTATCAATACATTTGGAATCTAAATTATCAATACATATCATCATTGAAAAAAATAAAAATTTCTATTATATTAAATCTACTCAAAGTGTTCATTTTTCGTCAATAATGACATGTATTGACTATTTCCATTCTAAATATCTTGAGAACGGTTGCTCGTAGCGATTTTTACAAAGAGATATTTTTTACGTAAAAAGTCACAGAGATGTATATTTTTTTGCTCGGTAATTTTATACAGGTGCGGACAAAAAGTTATTAAGCTTCAAAACAGTCAAAACACATGTAGGTGGCGCCCTCTACTAGTAGGAGTCATCTTGACATCAAAATCAAATTTCTCATGTCAAAAAACTCCCAGACACCAATTTTCATCCAAATATTGATGTTACTTCAGAAATTATTTAGAAAAAATCGAAATAAAAATGAAACTTCTACACCCTGTATCT